GAGAGAGAGAGAGAGAGAGAGAGAGAGAGAGAGAGAGAGAGATCTTCTTCTTCTTTTTCTTCTTCTTCTTTGCGCGGGCCCGCGACACACGATCGAAGGCGGTCGCCGCCGTTGCGCTGCCATCGCCCAGTGCGCGGTCGGCGGGGGCCACATCGCCACGCGGTCTTTTTACGCGCGCGGCATTTTTAGTAACCGGTCGCGGCCGGCTACGGCCGATTGCGGCCGATCGAGGCCGATTGTGGCCGATCGCGGCCGAACTCGGTCGATCGCGGCCGGGTGCTCGACCGGCCTGTGGGGTTCGAGGACGACCAGGTCCAGCCAGGCCGAGGAGAGCTGCAACATCTGGGCCCGCGGAGGCTGCAGTGGCGTCGAGGCCATTCATCGACGGAGCGCCGGGAAGGATGACATCGACGGACGACACGACAACTGCAACGCTTTGAGTCAGGGGACGATCACGGGGGGTGCGGGGACCAGCGGTACGGGGGGGTCTGCGGGTGGGGGGTTCATCGCGCAGTCCGAGAGGGAGATGGCGAAGTTGAGGCAGGGGAACGTGGTGTGGAACTTCGTCACCAAGGGACAACATGTGGGGAACCAGGCGAAGATGCATGGGGACCGAAAGTTGCGTTGCAACTTTTGCGGCCACTTGTTTCAGGGGAATGCAGGGAAGGCCACGCGCCATTTCACGCAGTCCAAGCAATGCAAGGCTGCGGGGATGAGAGTTCTCGCGGAAATATGGAACGACACGAACTACACATTCAAGCCCGCGACTACTCGGTGGGTGCAGAGGTGGATGGCTGACGAGGGGGTACGGGACACGAGAGTGGCTGCGGGTGCGCAGCAACAGCGGATGGACGAGGAAGAGTCAGGAGAGAGGGACGATGTTCAAGACGCCCTCGATGAGGAGGAGGGTCTCAAGGGTGGGGTTGGGGAGGGGGGAAAGGCTGACGAGGCAGTCGGAGACCCTCACCTGCCAGGGGAGGAGGTGGTGATGACGTCGAGAGGCGTCAGTCGAGCGGGTCCCGCTCCTAGGGCACCACGAGCTAAGTTGGAGAGTGCGAGGAGGGAGAAGAGGCCGGTGGGGGAGGGCGACGTCGAGGTGCGAGAGACGGCCAGGGAGAAGAGGGCTCGGCAGACGACGATCGACGAGATGTACGACAAGGAGAATTTGGCCGAGTTCCATGACGCGTGGCTGCAGTGGATCTACACAAAGGGGTTGGCATTTAACGCCTTCCGAGGTCCGGAGTTCCAGAGGGTTCGGCGGGCGGCAGAGAGAGTACCGCGGACAGTTCAGTTCCGGTTTCCCTCGTACAGGGTCACAGCGGGCACCGAGATCCCTTCGCAGAGGGGGAAGGTGGCGTCGATGGTGAGCGAGGTGCGCTCTGCTTTCTGCCACACCGGTGCCACCATCCTCTCAGACGGTAGGAAGGCGCGCAGCGGCAAGCCACTCGTGAATTTCCTCGTCGGGGGCGCCAACGGCGCCCTGCTGTACGCCACTGTCGCACGTGACGGGTCTGTCCGCGACACTGCGGATATCGTGTACCGCAGGTGGCGGGCCATCATCTTGTCCTTTCCTGCAAAGGACGTGATCGGCTTCTGCACGGACTCCGCTAGTAACTATACGGCGGCGGCCCGCAGATTCGCCACCGACCCCGACGCAGACATCAGGAGGATCACTTGGCTTACCTGCCCCACCCACGTCTGCAACTTGATGTTGTCAGACGTCGGGACGCGAGTGGCGTGGGTCAAGGAGACCATCATCCGTGCCCGAGCGTTAGTGCGATTTATTAAATCTCACGGCGCTGCGTTCGCCGTTTTCAGGAGGATGAGCCCTCGTGTCACGCTGGTTGAGCCCGTTGAGACCCGGTTTGCATTAGTTTTCCTGATGCTGACGTGTCTCAAAGGCCGGCGGGACGCGTTAGGGAGCATGCTGCACGGCGATGCGTGGGCTCGCATCCCGTGGGAGCGCAGGCTTGTCTCCTTGGCACAGTGGGTTCAACTGCAGATCCACGACGGCGAGTTCTGGTGATGCGTTGACTGTGCCATCCGCGTTATGTCACCCATCCACCAGCTCTTGAGGAGGATGGATAGAGGGGGGATGATGATATCCATCGTTTACGAGTGAAGTCAGCATCTTCTGGAGTTGATGAGGAGGGTGGATGTGCCGGCGGACATGGTCGAGCCGTGCGTGCGCGAGGTTGCCGTCTGCAACCTCCACATGCTCAAGCTCGCACACGCTGCGGCATACCTCCTCAACCCTCGCTGTCGGTCCCTCCGATATTATGAGTCGTTGCAGACGACTACGGACGACGCCCGTGTGGTCAAGGAGTGCGACAGATTCCTGCTCGCACAGACTGGTGGCGATCCGGTCGGTAGACTGTATAGGACAGTCCGTGACCAGATCAGGCATTTCCACTCGCGGCGGGGGGATTGGGGAGATCGGTAGTTGTCCGATGCCGAGGCCGCCGACTGTCGGGGGGACCGCGAGACTGAGCGTTGTGCCCAGTGGTGGTTTGATCACGGACGTCATCACCCTGAGTTGTGCACCATCGCCATCCGTGTGATGCACTTGTGGATGTTCGCCTCTCCTGCGGAGAGGAATTGGGCGCAGCACGAGCGCATGAACACGGCGAGGCGCCACAAGCTTGCACAACTGGTTGAGATTGCCACCAATCTCATCGGATGTGCACAGCAGGGTAGGGGCTACGTGTTGCCCTGGGTTATGGGGACCGGTCAGGAGGAAACCGCGGGAGGGCAGGAGGACGACGAGGGGGACGTGGACTCCGAGGTGTGGGGAGCGCGACCTGCTGGCAGTTTCAGCGAGCATGACATCGAGCATCACGTTGTCGCTTTCCATGCTTGTCGACCGTCCAGAGCCGACCCAGTTCAGGACGTGTTCGGCAAGAGGGCGGTGGAGCCACGGTCGTGGCCGGAGCAGACGTCGGACGCTGATGGGGACGGCGACACGTCGGATGACGAGTGGACGGACGATGACGAGGCTCCCGTCAGCGGCGACGCGACGGCGGAGCGGGTCTATTTCACGTACGGCGGAGGACCTGACGGCATGACTCCACACACATCCGTCATCACTTACGATGTGTCGTCCGGTGGTCAGGCTAGTGGCACCGGCAGAGCCGGTGGTCGTCGTCGACGATGACCGCGTGGCGACGAGCACGTGGAGGAGCAGGAGCCAGTCGGAGGCCTTCGGCAGATGGACAGACGTTGGGAGGTCAGGAGCGATAGTGAGCCGGAGGGGGCGGAGGAGGAGGAGGAGGTGGGCCTTCGGGATCGTCGGTTCTCTCCCTCTCATCATCGGACCACGGGAGCGCCCGAGCCTACCAGGCCGAGGACGAGGTCGGCATCGGCAGCGGAGAGACAGCAGACACCAGCGACCGAGCACCATGAGGGGACCGGGCTTGCAGAGTTTCCGGAGATGGAGAGGACTCCATCCGGCGTCGGTGTCCGCCACCGCTCGCCGTCCGAGCTGCGCACCAACGACTTCTACGTCGGCGGCTCTAGCGGGGGTTTAGGGAATCTCAGTGCCTCGAGACAGAGGGGTGCCTCACTGTCGGACGTGCTCCTCGACGATTCTGATGTGCGGGGCCATGTAGACCGAGGAGGAGCGGGATGCCCAACTAGACAGAGAGGAGGAGGAGCGGCTGCGGACTTTGCCGGGATGGGATGGTCGTTTCGCGTATATGGAGGAGCAGCGCCGACGGAGGGAGTTAGAGACAGGGTGGGGTGGCGGCAGTGACGGAGGCGACGTGGGCTTTGGTGGGGATGATGCGGGGGCGGCCCCGACAGGGTGTGCCCACGGGTGTTGAGGAAGATGGTGTACCCACGGGTGTTGAGGGAGATGGTGGCGGCGAGGACGAGGAGGGAGATGGTGGCGGCGAGGATGAGGACGAGGACGAGGAGGGGTCCGACCATGGAGACGACGGCAGCGACGGCGACGACGGCGGCGACCACGGCGACGACGACGACTACGACGGCAACCACGGCGACGACGGCGACGACGGCGACCACGACGGCAACCACGACGATGAGGGTAGGCTGGCTTTGGTCTTGAGGGACCCTTCAGTGCCTACACTACCTCTCACACGGCCCGAGGCCTTCGCTCAGGCTGGTTTTGATGCTGAGGATTTGGCGCGACTCGGTTCACATGACCCTTTCCCCCACACGGGCCGCAGGAGCGACGAGAGGCGCCCTCCTGGAGGGGCGTATTCGCCTCCGCCGTACATCGTGGATAGCCCTAGATGGTCCGGTTCTTCGCTCAGCGGCATTAGAGGGAGGGAGTTCGGGCCGGTTGATGGCGGATCTGCCGGATCGATGCCTCCGCCACCCGCACGGAGCACGGAGGGCGGCGCCGGCATGACTACCGCCTGTGCGCCCGTTGCCGGTTCCCCGCCGCCTGTCGCAGGTGGTGTTGCCAGCGGATGGGCAGCTCATCGCCGGGTCTCGGACCGGATGAGGGCGGATTACGACGCCGGGAGGGGCGCCTTCGCAGGACGTTTGTCACCTCGGTTTCAGGTTGCGGCCAGCAGCGAGGGTGGCTCCGGACGTCCGAGTGTTCACATGGCAGGCTGCATGCTCGGTTTGTCTCGATCAGCAACGAGGAGAGTTTTTATCCCACCGCCGATTCCGGCCCGAGGGACAGCTGCGGACATGCAGCAGGGTCAGCACTACACATCTGGCGAGGAGGGGTTGCCGATGCGGAGTGGGAGTAGACGACACAGCACCGTCACGGAGGTTGAGGCTCGACTCGCAGCAGAGATCGCCACCGGCCAGGCTGCATTGGACGCGATTCAGAGGCAGCGACAGACGATTGCTGCAGCGGAGGCCGAGGACGAGGACGCGGACACAGAGTTCGAGCCGATCGACATTGCAGTCCGCAGACATAGAGCGGTCGTGTCAGCGGCAGCCACGGTAGCACAGGCGGCATACATCAGCGGTGCGTAGGGCACAGGTGGTGGAGGGGGCCTGAGAGGAGCGCGTGGTTGACAGTCCACCGGGAGAGGCCGCGGGCGTCCTTCCAAAGGAAGAGGATCTGGACCTTCCGCAGGGAGAGGGAGGCGTTAGTGCCTTTTTTATTTGTTTTTTTTTTTTTTGTTTTTTTTTACAGGACGTCGTTTTGACAGGGTAGGTTCATATTCATGTTGATGTTGTTGCTCGAGGTTGTATCATAGTGTTGTACATGACGCTGTTTTCATAGGGTAGTTTCCCCAGGGACGGATGGTACGATCGCCTTAGTTAGGCACCGTGTGTCACGGTTTGGATGACGTTGACGGGTCCGGTTCTTGGCTTCAGACACATAGATATGCATTTGGAGTGGAGTTTTTTTTTTCCATTGTCTTGTTCTTCTACGTGCTCCTCTTCCACACTCACTTTTGCATGTGAGTCGCTGTTGTTCGGTGAGTGTTTTGTTGTCTTAAATGTCCCACACAGAGCGGAAATTGTTGTCGCAATGTTGCAAATTGTATCTTTGTCTGATGTCACACACATGCATGTTATGGTTGCCCTCATTGTGAATGTGTTGTAAATTTGGTATGCCAAACATGGATGATATGCTAATCAATGTGTTATTTCACCAGCCTCACGAATGAAATTGATGCCTGCCTGAGGCTGTCTCTGCTCTACCATACGCACCCCCATCAAGGCCCCACCCAACCCCCACCCAACCCCCGCCCAACCCCCACGCCCCTGATGTCCAAGTTCAAGTACCCAGTATCCCGCCGCTTGCAGTGGGAGACTATGTACTTGCACTTCACTTGAACCCAGACCCACGCAGTGCCCCCACGGTCCCCCCTCCCCCCTCCCCCACTCAACCCAACGACAAACCCACCCACGGAACCGGGGGACCCCCATCCCCCCACGGGGGCCCACGGTCCCACGGCTGTCTCTTATACACATCTAGATGTGTATAAGAGACAGCTCCCACCCACCAGATACCCCCACGGGCCCCACCCCCAAAAAAACTAACCCACAGGGGGTGCATTTTTTTTTTTTTTTTTTTCTGTGTTGCTTACCTTCCCCCCTATGCACCTACATCAACGAAACGCAGTCCGGTGGACGCAATAATTTTCCCGGCCCACCCTGCTAGACCCATGTTTAGGACCCCCCCGTTTTTTATTTTTTTGTCGATCTTTCACTTCGAGGGCGTGCGGCGCCCCACCCCCACCCGACACCCGCTCTCCTCTCCCGAAACCCCCTCCCAGTTCAGCCGCGGCATCGGCTGAAAAAACGCGGGCGGAGCGGCCGCGGCCGGGGGGGTCCCGGTCGAGGCCGCCGGCCTCGGCCACGGTCGAACTCGGCCGCGGCCGAGGGTCAACGTAGGTCATGACTCATTGCGGCGAGATCACAGGGGCTGCTAAAAAATTCCAGTCTGTGGATACACAACTCTGGTGGATCATTGGATCTGTTCCAGACTCAAGAGTACTTATTGAATCTACCACAACAGGTTTTCTCTGTATTTTCTACGGATATTACAAAATGCTATGAGAATATTCCCATCGACGATTCTAAGGATGGGTTACCTGATGCAGTGAACTTTTTTGTGAAGATAGCTTTCAGACAGATGAGAAAACAACGTTCCCATTCATGGGTCCGCTGCAGGATTAGAGATAATGGTATAGTATCCTGCCGAACCACTAATACAGATTCAAAATCCTCCGGTAACGAACTCACTTTTTCGGAACCAATGGTAGTAGAAATGTGCTCTTGGGTGATGGAACATTGTTTTGTCACTCTTGGAGGGATTGTTTGGCGACAAGTAAGAGGCATCCCTATGCGCCTCCCGTGCTCACCAAATTGGTGCAATCTGTATTTCTTTAAGTATGAGTATCGGATGGTAAAAAGGATCCTTGCTTCGAACGACCCTGTTCTAACCAACCTCTTTAACTATAGTTACTGATATATTGATGATCTACATGTGATCACACAACCCTCTTGTCATGAGATTCCTGGATCCCAACCAGCAACGAATGGATTTAAACATTTTTTGGATCTACCCCCTAAATGTCATTGAAATCAAGAAAATATGTTATTCGTTAAAATAGGACATTATACTGTGTCCTCTTTCTAACGAATTTATTTTTGGCTGCAGCCTAAGCAACATAGGCATGCCCATCCAGGGCTTAACCACATGCAAAAGCGTGTTGAGATCCGTACTTGTGAAACTTTATAAATGAAATCCCAAATGCGGAAGCGTGTAGAGACCCACACATGTTAGGCACGCCACCCGCGAACCCTGTGCGAAAGTGTGTTGGGATCCTTACTTGTTGAACTTCAAAAACGTGCTGGTGATCCTGTGGGCAAGTGTGTTGGGATCCATACGAGTCAAACTTCATTAACGAATAACGATTGGCACGTCAAACAGGGAACCCTGTGCGGAAGTGTGTCGGGATCCTTACTTGTCAAACTTCAATTTCATAAATGTGATGAAAAATATTATATTGTGACACTGTCCTCTTTCTTACGAATTCATTTTTGACTGCAGTGTTTCCACATAGGCATGCCCATCCACTCGCCTCAATGCGAAAGTTTGCTGACATCCATAGTTGTTGAAATTTGTAAACAAAATTAGCAATGTAATCAGATTGAATTGGAGAGACTCAGTATAATTCTTTCGGTTATCCCAAATTTACACATGCAAGTTCATCGTCTTGCTGAAGCCGGTTGTTTACATGTATTATGAGATCCGGACTTGTTTAGAAGACTTGTGACTCTGACAATGGGCGGGAGTGTGCCGAGATCCATACTTGTTAAACTCAAAGCTGACGTATGTGATGAGAAAGGTGTCGTGATTGAACCGTTGTTGGTTAACACATCAAATTTTCGTTTACCAGGTTATCCCTAAATTATGCAAGCACACCCATCGTCTCACCCGAGACGATCGTTTGGATGTTGAAGAGATTCGGACTTCCGCATATAGGCACGCTCATCATCTCGCCCGACATGAGGGTACTTGTTTACAGTTGTGATGGGCAAGGTGTATTTTAATAACCACTTTATTTCGATATTTTATGTACAAGTGTAAAACTTTCAATTGTGCTCATTCACAATAAATATCCGCACTTTAAATGGTAATGCAAAGAAGGTTTGGGCATCCACTGACCAATTTCACATAAGATGACATTTCTCATGCATCCACCAATCAGTTTCACAATCATGTTTACACTTCCAGTTGAACAAAATTTGAAACATGGAACATAACGTATGACATGTTCCGCTGCATGAGAAACGACTGCGACGTGACAGAGATTACAAAGCCCATACATGACGCTGGACATGCAATGAGCTTATCGTAGACAACCCGAACTCGGAACGACAAAAGAAAGCAATGTCTTTGGCAGAAGGACAGTTGAAAAATATCTCGATTTACAAAATTTTATGAACAACGAATGGAACACCTTAAGAAAAGAGTTTCGAAGTCAATCAAATCCATGAAAGACAACGATGTTCTAAGACACATGATGCTAATTGTCGTCTAAGAAGCGGAATATGTTTATAAGAGAACCGGAAAGGCGATCGATCTCCACGTTTCAACAACGTCGGATACATCAACATAAAGACCCCACAGCTTGCTCCATCCACTTGTCTCGGAACTCCACCCACCACAACATTTCCCACTATCAACTTCCAATTCCTACCCGACCGCCTATGTGATGTTTGACGTTCCAAATATAGCACAATCAACCCGAAAACACAAAGGTAAAAACTAAAATCAGCTACAACGCGAGGAAAAGAATCAAAAATTTTGACAACATCATCTCTCATGTTGACGGAAAGGAGGATCCAGTGATCATCATCTTTGTGGACAGGAACGAAGACAATATCGTAACGAAGCAAATCTACGTTTCTAGCCCACCTCTGCACCCCACCGTGTCCTTGAAGTCGCAGTTTACTGATGAAGAACGAATTAAAGGTGAAGACTTGAAGGCTCGACGAGATGTCACGTGACCCACATGCGGTTGACCCCAACAATGCCATATAGAAATTGACCACCTCATCATTCACCCTGTCGTCGACATGCAGTAGGGTGAGGAGATCTTTTGCTGCAATCCGAAATTGACCATCGCCCATTATAGAGAGAACAGTGTGGGATGGCACCGAGCCTCGTACAATGTCGTCCAAAACCCGCAAGCTCAGACGCTCAATCGCTGCAACGAAACTTCTCCTGCGTGCTGCATTTGCAGCCTGCACTGCACAACATCGAACAAAGGACACGTGGGGTAGTGAGAAATGGAGTTTTATGCATTATCCCCTGGTGCATGACGGTACTTCTCATACATGGTCTGACCCCTATTCACAGATCGTGGATTTGTCCCTTTCTCTAGGGCAAGAAGGGAAAGACATTCCTCAATGGCAACAGTGTACTCCTTCTTCCCGATCTCGACATCAACCCCTGATGCCTTTAACATATCCTTGTGTTTTATAGTCAACCCGGGGACTTTCTGCAATATGTGCTCTGGATATTTGGAGGACCTCCGTGTTCGAGATAACCCTACCCTTGTATAACAGAAAAAAAGACAGAACAGAAAATGAGAATCATACAATCGCACAGACGCAATAGTCAACCAGAACCTCTCCGACCATAGGACCCTGATTTTGCGTGGTCATGTGCACCCAGGTGCGGTTGTGCTACTGGAAAACAAAACGACTGCAACATTCGAGCTTAACACCCCCGCACTTCGCAAAGGAAAACCACCACAACTCACAGAAGCCAAAGGCCAGCAATCCCTGAAGTTCGGACTGCGGCGGACTTTTCAATACACCAGCCCCACTGAGACTGACCACATCACGCATCGACAAAGGAAGTTCGGATCCCGGTGGACTAAAACCGAGAAGGGAAAACCGTCAGTCCATCTACTTGGCCACTTTCTTAGCCCCTTGGCCACTTCCTCAGCCGGGGCAAATCCTTCCTTGGATGTAGTGTAAGTTTTTCGACGAAGTTTTCGCCGCCCTCGACCAGCAACCCGGCCGAGTGACAGATAAGCCGACGGGATGTATTAGGAAGGGCTGGTGGCTGTAG